ATATAATGGATTTGCTCAAGCACATTCACCATCAGTTCTCAAACACTGTTAGTAAATTCATTTTACAAGTTTTATTAACAGCATTATGAGTGATTTTCAGCTTGACTTTCTATATATGGTCACATATTTAAGATATTTGACTTCATTTAAAGGGTCAATATCATTGGATGAAGTACAAAAAGCTCTCTAAGTTAGAGTATGGAACATTAACTTTTTGAGAAAAAAGTTTACACAACCTTATATGAGGTGATAAAGTGACTGCTAAAGGTTTCCAAAAAATTGATGTTTTTAGGGAAACAAATCAAATTTTCTAGTTATCAAAACATTTCAATAGTAAATATAATGTTATTATGTGAATTGTTTAATTGGTGTAAGAATTATTTTAACTCAGTGTCACTCTGATTCCACACTACAAATGTATCATCTTCATACCTCAACCAAAGTTTTGGTTTAAGTGACAGTTAGGTAATTATTGAATTTGAGAATAGAATTGTTTATTTATTTGGACAAAGAAGGACATAATACACGTTTTGGTCAGATTTATGATATTGTTAATTTTAAGATGAGAATAGTATTATTAAATAACTTGTCTTCAAAATAGCTAATGGCTTCATTTACAGGGACTGAAGTGAATAAAGATACAATATCTAAAGAAACCGTAATATCATTATGTGATAGTTTTAAAGAGTGAATTTGATTAACAAAGTGTGTTGAATCTTTATTGTACTGTTTCTGTTGCAAGGATAAGAAAGAAAAGAGATGTGACAAAGAATTAATACCAGAAACAATTGGGTGATAAGGAAATATTTTCTTTCTGTATTTTGGGTAGTGCATAATACCATAGAGGAACAAAATTAGGCAGTAATAATTAAAAAATATTGTTAGGGGTTAAGGCAGTATAATATTTCAAAGCCATTCTTAACATTTTCATGATAATTGTTAGTGGGGTTCTTATTTGATAGTTTATATGAACCCATCTGTTAACAAATTTTTAATCCCTTCATTGACTCTAGAGGATTTTTATTCTAAATCTTATATGAGAATAAAATACATCAGACTGACAGTGTTTATGCATACCTTCAATAAAAATTAAAACACCAGTGTTTCCATATGCACAATAACTTTATTTGTATAAGGTTAAAAAAACAACACTCTTTTACATGTTTTGGTAGAGAATATGATCCACCATCTTCATGACACACAGAAGGACACATGAGGTTCGTTTATGTACTAGAGTAAATGAATGTGTACAATTAACATATTGTACAGTGGTGCTATTTACAAAATGGTTTTCAGGAAATTAAGGCAAACAAATGATCATTTAGTTAGGTTAACTGGATAAATGCATTGTTGCTTCTTTTCTCAATATAGAGAAAGCTTTCAACATGGTATGGCATCATACAGTAATAGAAATAGTATTTTACTGTAATATAATATTAACAGATGGAAAATAAACCAGCCATAAAAGAGGAAGGAAGAGGTCGTGAATGTGTCAGAAATGGAATGTCAGTGTGTTATTATTCACTGGCTATTTAATTTTCCGATATGATACCTTACCTCCTCTCACATAATAGATTTTCTCGACTTGTGCTGCCCTCTATATGCACAGTTTTAGTTTGCCACTAACCTTGATGCTCCAATCTACCCTCACATTATTACATGTGGCATAGCTGCACTGTAGCATACAAGTGAGCATGTGACAACTGTCTTAGCACAGCTGACTCCCTGTGTATTATTTTTTGATCACTTAGTTTTTGTGGAATAATTTTTCTTCATCCCACTTATCCACAATGTGAATTCTCAATTCAATGTCACCACAATGACTTCAACCATCAGTTAGATTGTACTTTTCTAGACTTTCGGATCTTGGAGTCTGTAATTCAAGTTTGGAGTTCCAAACCTCAAACTACATTGAGATTTTCTAAAGTCCAGTTTTTACATCTTTGTCTTACCCTAACCACTATCCTCCATTACCTTTCCTCCATTCATCTTCTCTCCAAGGCTATCCACCGTTTCCATGAGGTTTTTTTTTTCGGATACTTGTTCCTCCCTTTTTTCCTACATTGGCGTGCTTATCTTCTTCTGTCCCTTTCCCTCGTATGTGGCTCCTTTGTTGTTGGTATCTCCTTTGTAGGGATGTACTTTTGTCACACATGCTCTTCCTTCCTTCATATTTACGTGACGTTCATATGGTGGCTTTTCTGCACCATTCTGTATTTGGAGTTCAGGGTGGAAGCCGCACATTAATATTCCTCCCTTTCCTCCCCTGTTTCTTATCTCTCCCAGCCTTCTCCTACTCCCATTCCTGTGTCTTGTGCTCCTGCTTCATCTCCTCTCCAGTGCCTCCTTCTTAAGTTTCAGCAATGACCCATCATGTTGCTTATTAACATGTTTTCCAGTACGAATGGTATAAGTGACTATTCCATCAGTTCTGGCATTGTAGGAGCATGGTTAACCATGTTTGTTCATCTGTGGTACCCATTTACCACAGATCCATAGGTTCTTCAGGTTTTGTCAGAAGGATTCTCCTTTCATTTCCTGGTCCTCCTGTTATCTCCGTTTCTAATTCCCTTCTCTCCTGCATGGGATCCTGTTTCTTGCCAGCATCTCTTGGAAGTGGTTCTATATCTTTTGCTCAAGGATGCTATCAAAACAGTAAGTCACTCTTCTTTGGGATTTTATTCCCAGTTGTTTGTTGTTCCCCAAAAGACCAGGGATTGCCATCTTATCAAATCTCAACCAGTTCATTGACCTCCCTTGGTTCACCATAGAGTCTTTCCTCACACTTCAGTGGGTGCTTACTCTGGATGTTGAAAGGTTGAAGTCTCAGATGTATACCTTCATATTCTTATCTCTCCAGCCTCCAGACATGACCTTTGTTTTGTTGGGATGGAGCTTATTGGGCTGGTGTTGGTAGTGTACTAGGTCTGCACTCATTTGCTGCCCTGGGTTTTTGGAATGGAAGTCCTATTTTCCTTTGCTTCCTGGGCCTGAAGGGAAGACAGTTTGGGCCCTCCTGCTACTGTGGCCTGGATGCTCCATTCCCGGTGGTTCCAGATTTTAGATTGGAGTTGATCTGCTGCTTACAGTCTGACATGCTCTAGCCACTCTACACCATTCGTGCATCCACTTTCTTGGATGTGCCTCTTTCTACCCTTTTTTGCAACCCTTTTCTTTACTACGGGTAAAGAATATACCTGTTACAGATGTGGTGCAGTCTCCCACAGGTGTGACACCATCCATTGAGGTTTTACATTCCATGGGCTATCTTCGAATGCTCATATAGGTAACTTTTCAATGTGTGATTATAGCTATTATGTGAGAAGAGATAAGTATCTATTGGAAATACAATTTCAGTGAAGGAAAGTGTTAATCTTTGATCATACAATTAACCACTGATTATGCTGTAATATGTAAATTATGTAGAATAGCTGAGGCTATGCAATAATTTTAAACTCAAAGCCCTGTTAAAAACCAGAATTTATTTAGAACCTCTTTGTATAGCATATGTTAGACTGGAATGAATCAATTAATAAAACATTTGAAGATGTAGTTTTGTTTGTTCACAGCTGTTCCTCGAATAATCTACAGTTCTAGAACGCACACTCAACTATCTCAAGCTGTCCAAGAACTGAAGAAAACTAATTACAAACAGTAAGTAGTGGAAAGTTTTAAATATAAGTACTATCTACAAGAGCATTGTAGATCTGATGTAATGTATACAAGAAGAAGTGTGATATAATTTGTCTCAAAATTTGATTGGTTAGTTTAGTATTTAATTATTAAATTTGACATTTTTTGTGTTGCTTTTCTTTTTAGTCAATATGTTTGGTACAGTATATAGCTTCCTTTTGTAATGTATATGAGTGTGATTCATTTGTTTAATGTACAATATTAACAACTTTAATATGAAAGATTTTATTAGATTTCTTCAAAAAGATGCACACTGCAAGTAAAGTGCCAGTTTTATTTTAAATATACTCAAGTATTTCCTTTGAAATCATTACATAACACATTCAGTGAATTACAGGTCTTTATCTTTTGTCTTAAAACTAAATGTTGGTTAGTACAAGTACTTTGACTGAATTCTAGAAAGACTGCAGAGAAATAATTTGTTTATATCCAGTATAAGTTTTCTAATTTCTTTTATTAGTGCTAAACATATTTTTAACTAACAAATACAAGTAATTTTTAAAAGACAAAACTTTTAAACAATAAATCTAATGATTCTTTCAAGACATCTCTGCACTTGTATGATTTCTATCTACATATACATGTAATATTCCTTTGTAGTAATCCATATAAATGTTAGAAAGTACCAATAAACTGTCATATGTAACTTATGTAGTCTTGTACATTTTCCAAGTATACTTTACAAAAGCAAAGCTGACAACAGTAATTGAATGGAAGAAAAGTTTTTATTACAGCTTTCCTTCATTAGCATTCCTTTCCTCTTTATTCTAATACACATAAAAAATTCATTGAAAATTACAGATCAACAGAATTTAGATTTTGTTATGAAATTCAAAATTTAATTAAGTAAATTTAGTATTAATAAATTAAAGACAAGTGAAAGACAAAACATACAATGTGTACTATATACATAGGGTTGAAAAGGCTATATTTAAATGACTTTGAATATGCAAATTAACAAGACATTGGCAACCACAATCAAGTGAAAGTTTTGGTTGAACAGAATGTATCAGAACCATATTTTGACATTGTCTGAAAATTCACAGATAGTTTTTTAAAAGGGTGTGTGGCAGACCTTTCTGACACAAAATATTTACATCCAGATCATAAAGATGCATTAGGATCAGGGATTTAGAATTTACAAGATGGGGAGGGGATGTCACTTATACTTAATGGTATTGGAAAACAAAGGAATATGAATCAACTTGAGTTACAAGTTGCACCCCAGCCATGGTAAGCAGCATGTTGTAACAGATGAGAAACTACAAACACAAGTCAGTGGCATAAACCATCCATGTGTCCCAGGAACCAGTACACAACATAATCAAGAAAAATCTCTGTCTCGAAAAGTGACTTATGTCATGTGTACACAAGTTGCTTCCATGACATATCCAGGAAAGGAAAGCCAACTATAAAAAAACTGTATGAACAGCACCTAGCTGGGGGAGAGTGGCAGTATATGGTGGTATTTGACATAGTGTATGTGTAACTTGATAACTGTAACAAGTTTTGTGCCATTTCCTACCAATCAATGGTTGGAAATATATCTGCTTACTCTTTGTACCATACAGAAATATAAATATTGGCATTGTATGTATACAAGGCCAATAGTGTATGGTTTCATCAAGATAAGGCTTCAGTCATATCTCCTGTTCAACCATAGCACACCTCAAACAGCTTGAGAATAAAACTGGTATTCTTGCTGTTCGATAAGAAGACATACTGGTCAAGTTGTCAGACACTACATTTATGGATTTCTGTGTGACCGGACTGTTGAAATGGGTGCTGGGTACTATCTTCTTTTCACTAATAGAAATAGGGGAAAGACCTGAAAGACCTCAGTGATGTGCTTTTGACATGATAATCTTATGAAGGAGTTTTTTGCAATGGAAATTATGCTGCAGGGCTATTGTCAAAATGCACTGTCATCAGATAGAGTATGACTGGATATGGAAACATGGACTGTAATGATGTATTGGGGCTTCAAATTCATTTTCATATAATGTACTTAACCCTCTGTATATATGCCAAATATTTACAAACTGATTAGATCTTCTATAAACTCAAGCTCTGGAGTTTCTTGAGAGTGCAATTTATTAGCTTTATATTCGATATATTAATCAAAACTGCATTAAAAACTTTGTATGAGCTTTTTTATGTGTGTTTTATTTCAATAGTCAAATTTATTAATGTGTAATATCTGGGTTAGCAGTAGATAATTGTACATGTAGAAGTGAACAATTATCCTATATTAGTTTTGAAATTTTTGTTTATTATTATTCAGACTAATTAAATAATGGAATAAAAAGTTAAAATTTTACATGAAAATTAGAAACTGTGTTAATTTATTTGTAGCTGTAATAAACCTAGTACATAGTGTACATATACATGTAAAGTATTTCTTTTATAATATTTTATCACTTTTGTTCAAAACATTCATCAACTAGTTTTGTTTTCTTAGTGTTTAGACCAATTTTTATAAAGAATATTTAGTTATAATTTAGGTTAGATTCATGTGGACTTGGTCTCATGAGAGTACACTAGTGTTATGATAAGCTTCAATAGTAAATTGAATTGATGTTTTTTCAGGTAAAGGTTTAAATTGTAAATTATTTCTGGTTTTAAGTTTTCTTAAGTTTTTTTACAATTGTTGAGGAAGTTGGTAGTTGTTCCATGTAAGTAAATATTGCTAAGTTCCTTCAACAGAATTCAGAAGGTGAATTCTAGATAATAGAAAAGTTAATATATTTTGTATCGTATCAATTACTTATATTGAAAATGATTTGTGTTCACATTTTCATCCTAGTATGCGTGCTGTGGTACTGGGCTCTAGAGACCAACTCTGTCTCCATCCTGAGGTGTCAAAGCTACAAAATAATGCTGCAAAACTTCACGCATGTCGAGCTAAAGTAAACACTCGTGCCTGTCCATTTTATCTTAATGTGGAACAAAAAATTTTGGGAGAAAAAGATTATCAAACAAATTCTGTGATAGACATCGAAGATTTAGTCAAATTGGGAAAAAAGCATACGTAAGCAGTGTTTTTTCATTCTTAACGTTTTTAATTGCTTATTTAGTAGAAAATTTTAAGTACCACTTTTGCAGTCCCAGTGAATGAACCCTGATAACCCAAGTGCTTTCAGAAACTACCTGTGTTCATCTGAGAAGTAAAGGGTCTAAGTGAGATCGTGGATGTATAACATAGTTCTTACTAATTCTTTGAATAGAAATGTTGCAAATGTGACTGATTTTTGTTCTAAGCAAAGAAGTACAGAATTATTACATATAAAATCCCATATTTAAGTGATTATATCTACTAGATTTGTTCCAAACTTAAAGAAGTCAAGACCTGCTTTTGAAATTTCATCATTGTTTAATTTAATAACTCCTGACCATGTGTGTTTTCTCCATTTTACTATTCATCACCTTATATTTTAATTTGAAATTTTTCAAATATATTTTGTTCTTTAATTATCTTCGTTCCAATTTAGTACAGTTTCATTTTTTAAATTTCTTCTAACTATGATCAAACATAATAGTCTGACCACTTGCACAATCATTCAGTCTTCAGTTTCTTGTGCTGTAGTAAGGTTTATTTCAAACTTGCATTGTGTAGTGTGTCTTTCCTTCTGCTTTACAAAAATCACCATTTGTCTCTTTATGCATAGTAGGTCCACCAGGTATTGTGAAAATCAGGTAACTGTGTGTTTGTAGTTAGGTGATTTAATCAATTACCCAAGAGCAGTGATAACATCAATTAGTCTTTTAAAAGGTACCCACTTAACTTACGAACAATATGAAGTTTTGATATGGCTATTTTGGGGTAATAGATTTATTTCATTACAATTTTTCATCTCTAATAGTGAGACATGATCATGTACAACATTTAAGGGACAAGTAAATTCAAATTGCAAATATATCCAATCAAATAATTTGGTTTATGATACTAGTTCCTTCTGATTTTAGATGCAATATAATGACACTCCTGATGTTTATCAATGTCAGGTTTCAATTCTTTGATCCTTAGTGCTTCCAGAATTTTTCTTTTGTTAATATTTTCCTCTATATTTAGTATTTTAATATTTTGAAAGTTTATTTTATGTTGTTTTTCAATCATATGTTCATTTATGTTTGACTCTTTCTATTTTTCACATTTTACATGTGGGGATTATTTTCTTACCTGTTTCTCCTATATAGAAATTTTTGTACACTAAACATTCTGTTTTATACACTGTGCCATTGTCATATTTTTCATTATTACATAACTTCAGCAGAAAGTTTTTAATGTTAGTCCTTTAATTTGTACCATAATCTAATTAATTTTTCACTAATAACACCTGCAAATGGTATTGATCCATAAACATATTTCTTCTCTTACTCTTCTTGGATGTTTTAGACAGTTGTTCTTATATGTGTTAATTTTATCTTGGTGCATTATTTTCTTGATTGTGTAATCAGTTATGTTTAGAAGGGACTCATTTTTTGTATTAAAATCTTCTCTTTTATTTTGATTTTTTCTTCACATTTTCATTGCTTTTTAGTCTCAGTTTTGTTCTTTTAATGTTCCCTTTTCTACTTTTTTACTGTGAGCTGAAAAACCAGTTTATATAAGTTCCTTTGTGAATCTTTTGGTGAATTTCCAAGTTAAATGATTCTTTTTTATTTATGTTCACATTTAGGAAGTTTGCACAACCATTTTCCTCCTTTTTTTCTGTTGTGAATGTTATACTTACTAGTATGTTCAAAAAACCACCAATTTTTATTTTTCTCCTTTAAAGCCACAAAGTATATCACTAACATATCTCCACCAGAAAAGTGTTGGAAATATAGCTGTATTAATGGCCTTTGTCTCAATGCTAATGAGGAATAACTGGTAATACTGGAGATAATGGACTTTTCATTCCTAGACCTTTGGTTTGCACAAAGAAGTTTTTTTTGTAACATAAAACAGTTTTTAATTCCTAATCTCCAATAGTTGTTTCATATCTTCTAAATTAATTTGTATATCTTTGTTCTCATCATTGGCTATTTTGTTTAATGCTATTGCAATGGCTTCATCCACCAGTGCTTGAGTGTTCATGACTCTATATCGAAACTACATATACTGCTGTTAGGTTTTTTTTTTTCAATTTGTTTGTCACTTCATAAGAGTTTTACATGACAATATTCTCATTATTTGTGTATCATTTTAGGATCAAAGCTAACCATTTACATAATTTGTAATTGAAGCTACAATAGTTACAAAATATACTTACTTACAGCTATTATTCGACTGCCATGGTTTTTTCCTTTTCCCATTTAAGCATTGGTCTGAGTTTTTTTCACTTGCTCTAGTTTTTATCCCACCTAATTGTCCTTGGTGATGTTTGTCTCGTGACACTCTCCACCTATGTCAATGCGCTGTTAATAAGCACCTCATTCAGATAATGTTATCACATTTTTTTGACAAAGTGTCACTAACAGGTTTCCTAGTACTTCAAACGTTCTCCATGTTACCTTGATGATTTTCATAATAAAAAAAAAACAATTGGCAAGCCGATTTATGTTAGGAATTCCTGGATTATTACTTCTGGCACGGAGGCAAATCAGGTCTCTCATGCCTCACCTCTGATATTTAGTGTTGCACAACAATCTAGGGGGGGGGGGACTGCCATTGATCTTATTTGTAATGAGATGAAGACATATTTTCAGTTCTTTGATGTTCCTCTGGGGCTTCAATTGAGGGTGATTCTGGACATTCTGGAGACAATTTAGATTTGCTTTTTCCTATGCCTTCTTTTAGTCTGTTTTTAGTCCCATAGGAGGACAATGGTGAGTTTATGGACTTGCAACGCTGGAATCAGCTGTTTGATTTCCTATAGTGGACACAACACATAGCCCAACATTGCTTTGCTCTAACAAAACAAACTTACAATTAATAACTTAAAATTTATATACTATTAAAATATGGATTATTAGCTAAGATTTTAAGCTATTCTAATTGGTATAACATGAAAAAAAAAGTACTTTAATAAAATTTTGAATGTAAGACACTAAAACTTTGTGTCATGTGCAGTAAAGGATACTTGTGGCGATAAGGTTAAATGACATATAAAAACAAAAAGGAGGCTGCTTTAGGATAAACTGTCTTTGACTTTTCTTCAGTTGGTTCATTGATAGTGTCATGTTTTGGGTTTTTCCCTGGTTGCTTTTGAGCCTGCACCTCACTTGATGGGTGAAAGGTCTGGGAGCAAATTTTTAGCTCTCTTTCCTTCCATGGACATTGTGGTTGATGCTGGGAGGCTTACTTCTCAGTTATTCCTTATCTGACACTGTTGTCGGAACTTCATGATTTAGCCAACCACCACCAGGTGGAAAGTTTTTCTGACTCAAATAATACATCTGCTCCTCGAATTTTGGAGGTATAAGGCAGAGTTAGTAATTTACCTGAATAGATTAATGTCCCCTGATGGGACAGGGTAAATCAATGGACTTAAAACTCTAAAATCCAGCACTTTGTTTTTCTTTCACTTCACTTTGTTGGAAGACTCTCAGAATCACTAACTTCATTGATGAACATGAACCATTGTTAGCATGCACATTGGTTAAATAGTCAACTTCTACATTCATCCCTGTTGTCATTGGTGTTTCAAATTTCATCAGCTCCTACAAGAGGTCATGGTTCTGCCCTTATTCCTGGGACCTGACCCCCAACATCAGCCGTTCGGTACATTGGTACACAGAATAGATTCTGTCTATATCCAATGGTTCTATTGTTCAGTCAGATCATCACCCTTTCAGGGTCTGTGGGAGCTCAGCTCTGAGATTTTCTGGACCTGTTGTAACCTTAACCACGGATCCAGGAGGACTACAGGTCCTTGAGTCAGAATTAGTCATTCAGTTCACATCTTTACCACTGTAATCCACCCAATCTGTAGGGTTTCCATTTCCTACAGAACCTCAGGATTTGGAATTTAGTTCTAGGGCTATTAGAGTTTGGTTGCTCTGGGAGTAGTGAGAGAGTTGTGCTACTTTTTATGAGGTTTTATTCTCATCAGTTGTTGGGCCTAAGAAGAGATTGGTGTCCAGTCATCAATTTTTCTCATCTATATCAATGCCTAGATTCACCAAGGTTCACAAGTTACTAATTCCTCAATCTGAGTTGACATTTTTGTGGATGTCCAAGTTCATTATAGTCGACTCCTATCTGCACATTGCCTTTTTTGTGTACAAGGGTCAGGTACTGCAGTTCCGCATTGACTTCATATGGGTTCTGCTGTATCGTACGAGTTTATTCTCGTCACCTCCATTCCATCCATGGAGTTGGGACCATTTCTTATTTGCAATTGATCAACTGGAATTTACAGCAATAAAGTACGTACTTGTTATGGGACTGATTTTTTTTCTAGTGACACCAGTAATAATGGAAAATATCTTCAAGTTCTGTACTACCTATTGAGCATTTGGTTAAATTATGTTTTTAATCTTAAAAGTAATAAAGTAACAGGTAAAACACCATGATGTTTATTCACTTATAACTTTCAAGTTTTCAAGGCATTCAATATTCTTTTAATATAAATTACTTTTTCCAGTTTCTACAACTTTTTTATGGAAGTACTTATATTTTATTAATACATCTATACGTGGATTTATATGTTGACCTTTTTTCATCAATAGCTGTTGCCCTTATTATGCAGCTAGGAGTTTGAAAAGTAAAACAGATATTATCTTTACACCTTACAACTACCTCATTGACCCAAAATCCAGAAAAGCACATGGAATTGAACTGCAGGGAAATGTATTGATATTTGATGAAGCACACAATATTGAAAGTGTTTGTGAAGAGAGTATGTCATTCCAGCTGAAGTCTGCAGACATTGCCCTTTGTATTAGTGAGGTAGGACATTTAATTGGTGAATTTTATAAACACATTTAATAATATGAAGTGAAAAGTTCTTGATAAAAGTATTTTTTATGTCTGGGGAATTTCTTATCACTGCATGTTTAAAAACGAGAAATGATAAAATTGGAAAGGAGTATTTTTTAATTATCAGGTTTCTGGTAAATACAGTCATTATCAGTATTTGATATTTTAACCCTTTTCATATTACTGGGTCAAAGTGTGCATGTCATAACCTTTTACAGAGTTACATTTAAAATTTAATTAAGGAACTTTATTATCTTTGCATCAAAATGTAGTTTGTAATCCAAATTTTTATATTATCTAAGCTTTAATTTCTTAATTGCAAAAGGAGTTACTTAAAAACTTCTGTATTTGCTGAGATATCAATACAGTTCTCAAACCTGCCAGAGAACCCCTTCCTATCTGTTTTTCAAGATAATTATATAATCACCTATATGTGGCTGATAGATATGTTTTATAATCAATGGAAAGAGTAGATTTCTCTGTCTGCAAATCTTATGACTTTTCCTTTAATCTCATAGCAAGTCATAGTAAATGGAATTTGTAGCTTTTGGATGTACCTAATTTAGTGCCTTAAGCAGTTAAGATTTTGTTTTAAAACTATTTAGAGAGTACTTTTTGAACATTCTATTTTACTGATTAGTATTTTTTGTTATAAAATTAATATTTCAAAGTTACTTTAATTTTTACTTGGACAACCAACTTAATAAAGAAAAGTTAGGGCTAGTACAGTTATGTGTGTGAGTGAAGAGATTACATGTTCTGCTTGTTGGGTTAACAAGAAACAGCTCTTGCTGTGATTTATTGCTTTTCATGGAGGGATAATCTGCTTCTCCAGTACAAAGTCTGGAAATAAAACCATTAAAAGATGTGAAGAGGTTAACAACTGAAATTATGAAGATAAGTAATTTGAAACTCTTGAGACAATTATGTATTCAAAGAAAAAGATAACGATATTATTTTGTTTTACGTTTTCAAATTTTCATGTCACTGCACATTGATGATTTTTCTACAGTTAGTGTTAGGGTAGTGAAAAATAAGAAATAAAATATAAAGTTTATTGAAAAAAAATATTTTGATATTCATTTACGAAGTTCCTGAGATAATGCAAATGAAATATGAAAACTGTAAAATTGAAATAAATATTTTTATTTTTATGAAAATCACCTTTTACACAGACTGATTCAGTGAAGGCTTAATAAATTCATAGACAAATCTTCATTGAAATATTTTATTAAAAAATTTGTTTGCATGTACAACAGATTCTATTATTTATCGAAAGCTTGCCAAATTTTGTGAAGGTATATTTAGAGTTATAGTATATATAGTTTGAAGATTACAAGATGGCTACAAGGTCGGTCAAATTGACTGTGTCCATGTACAGAGAGTTAATGAGAGCATTTGTGTAGTTGGTTAAACCTATATTTTTGATTTAAAATAATTATGTATCTAATGTTCAGGCCATGTTTCTGTTAGATGGTTCAGCATGGACAGTAAACTGTATTTTATATGAATGTAGTGTAAATTAGAAACCTATACAATTAACAATTGTCAATGGTGAACATGTCAATTGCTGGTTACTGTCTTACAAAAAAATAGATAATTTCCAGTGAATAAACTTTGTTTCATTGTGTCCAATTATCGTTGTTTTCTTTTTCGTTTTATCTGTGTACTATAGTACGATGTGTTTAAACGGAAATTATAAAAGTTCTTTAGTTTAAAAAATAATTTAACTTATAAGAATAGAAATAAAAATACCATCAAAAAAGGAAAAAAAAAATGTCCCTTTTCATTTCTTGAAAAAGAAAGTGTAAGACACAGAATGAATATGTATATCAGAGCTTCAGAATATTTAAATTATTAGCTGCTCAGTAAAAGTAAATGACTACCAGGCCCTTTGCTACAATGCACTATTCACAAAAAAAAATTTCTTCTGATACTGGATTTGGTAATGGGGCACCCCACAGTCTACACTAGAATGCTAACTTTGCAGTAACAATTTTTGCCACAAAATAAATTTGGCAGTAAAGTTTTCAAGTTTGGTGATGCAGCTGATTGTCTATGTATCCCCATATACACCTATGTTCGAAGGCAATCTTTTTCTTGATAATCTTGAATTGTAGTAGTTGATCATCAGTTTTTTTTTTATTGCACATGTCTTTCTTGATTTCCAGAAAGCAGTAAGACTCCAAATAAATAAGATTGAGGATTTGATTGCTGGGAATTGGCACATAATAAATTGATGATTGAATGAGAAATAAAGTAAAAGTAACAACACAATTACAATGTTATTTTAGTTACTGTACAAAGAAAGCTACATGATTGAAATAATGCAGACTTACAGTTTCTATCTAAAATTTAGACTTCATAATATCAATTCAATGACCATTGATATTTCTTCATCTACCTCTATTTTTTAAGAGCAATTAAAACATTGATTCAAAATGAAATTAAGTGTCTTAAGTCTATGGATTTCAACTCTTGCAACACTGTGTATCAAGGTATACTGTGTGCATAGTCCCAGTTGTTTTTCATTAACTGACATTAACATGTTTTCTTGAGCAATTACCAAAATAATAGCTTCATTGTAAAACTTGCAACCTTTTGTCAAGAGACAGTGCATACTATTTTGTAGCAGATGTGTTACATATAAATGAAACAACTTCAGTGAATAAAGGACAGTTATGCTATGAAAAAGAAAGTATTTTTTAGATAGATACCCTTGTATATAAAGAGGGTTACATATGTTATATTAAAACAATTTTGAAAACTCATCACATTGTTACAGTCATGCTCTGTCTGACAACTGTGTATCTTGACAATAATCCTGCAGTGTAGCTGAGATTATAAAAGGCTCTGTCATAAAGCTGTCATGACCAAAGCACAGTACTTCTCCTTTCAGCTTTCCCTGATCCATCCAGTGTATAAGGTTGATGGTTTTCCAACACCCATTTCAATACTCCAATCTCCAATCACCCAAAAATCCAAAAATGCATCCAATAATTTGACTGGTTTTTCTTTGTATGGAGTAGCATGAATATCCATTTAATTCTACAATTGCTTGAAGTATGTGATGGTTGTATGTTAATTATGATTAGAAGCTTTACCTTGGTGTATTCATACCCTATTAATCTAGTTTCCAGATGGAAACCCTTTTTATTTATGTTGCAAGATGTTGCCTGGGACATTTGAATAGCCTTTGCTGTTGACCTTGGTGTGCATAAATTCTCACCTATTACAAGATATTGCGGTGGAGTATGACTTGTTGCAGGTCTCTTACTTATGTCCCAAGTTGATTCCTATCCCTTGTTTTCCATTGCTATTAAGTAAAAGGGGTATCCATTCTTAGAAATTCTAAATAACCAATCTGAATACATCTTTATGATCTGAGCATATGGGTATCTTGCATCAGAAAGGGCTGTCACATATTCTCCCTCAAAGTGATTGGTTTTTGGTGGCACCACAGTACCTGTAAAATGCTAAACAATACCAAAATATAGTTCTGATACATTTCATTCCACTTTGTCTTTATATCAGCTGTGGTTGTCATATGACTTGCTGATTTGCACATCCAAAGTCATTTTAATATTATGTACTCAACCTTGCATGTCTGTACAAATGAAAATTATACCTGCTTGTGATTGTATGTTACACCCAGACTAGTTTTACTTCCTTTATAGGCCCAAGTAAGATTTAAAGCAAAAATTAAATGGATTGAAAATAGCTAATAAATAGTATGAAAAATAATAATTTCTTTTTTTTACTTTTAGGTTTATACTGGTAACATATCATAATTGTTTACTTGATTTTATGATACAGTAATTGTAAGCCAGTAAATTTTTT